CAGTACCGGGAATCGAACTCATGACCTCGTGCCTGCCAGGCAGGCGCTGTGCCACTGAGCTAAACCCCCAACCCCGAAATCTAAACCCCCAGCCCCAAAATTATTAAGTATTGGATAGAACTTGCAGCTGCTCGTTAATATCATTCAGTATATTTATTTCAAAAATTTAATTGTGAAAACTTTCAAATTTTAGTTTGAAGTAGAAATGGCTTAAATAGAGCAGCTCAGTCTGAGATCAGGTCACTAGTAAATTCATATTCATTCACCCATCCATCCATCCATTCATTCATCAAAGTAGGTCACTGTAGAAATCACGGAAACTACTATGAAATGATTTGCAGGCTAAAGAGAAAACGTATGCAAAGCCTTGAGTCAGAATATATTCCAACATTTGTGTGAACGGATTCCTTCCATAGGTTAGGGACCCAAGAGGGGCTGCAGTGTCACGGTGAGAGACGCTGAAGGAGAAGTGCAAGAGGGACGTCTCTCTAATATAACCATCTGTGCACAGGCAGGAATTAGTACCCTTTACAACTGAGGGGAAAGAGGCAACTTGGCAATCACAGAGGGCGGTGCGTGTGTCTTCCCAGAGAGTAGGAAAAGAAACCGTGTGTGAGATTATGTGCAGAAGTTTCCAGAAGCTTGACAGCCTGATGGCTTGGTGGTAGGAAATAACTCATTCAAAGCAAGGAGTGGGGTTCTTTAAAAAACAAAAATAAGTAAAACACAAGGTCAAGACAATAGCAAAAGGTTGCTGCTGGAGTTAGAAAATATAAAGGCAACTCGATGTCATAATTCAAGGATAAAATATTTATGCAGGGCTGGCACTTAGGCTCATCAGTATGGTGCCTGCCTAGCAAGCACAAGGCCTGAGTTCGATTCCTGATACAAAGAAAATCAGGAAAAATAGTCCCTCAAACACTATACATTCAAGAAAAATTAGCTAAGCATTTATTGCATATAAAACACTTTGATAAATCCTCTTGGTGACAGAAAGTTTCACGCTGTCACCATGCAATCCCCAACTGTCTCTGTTCAACAAATCAGATGTCAACTGTTTAAATTTCTCTTTCATATTTCCACTATCATAAACATAGTTTATAGTGAATCACTTTCAATTTTAAATTTTGAAACAATAGCTCTTTTACTGATCGAATACCTTCCTATCTCTCCTTCGTGTAAACCTCTCTTACAAACTAATATCATATTTGATTTTAGGCAGGTTCTCTTTTGTGTTGTTGTTGTTCGTTTTTTTTTGTTTGTTTTGTTTTTGTTTTTGCTTTGAGATAAGCTTTGCCCTCTTGACCAGGTTAATCTCAAACTCATGATCCTCCTGCCTCAGCTTCCTAAGTAGCTAAAGTTGCAGACAAGTGCCACCACACCCCACCATATTTGTTTTTTGAAACAATATATCTAATTAGGACTCTATTCAAAGACCTTCAATGATTAAACCACTGTTTACCACATTCAGTAAAGAATCTTTCTCATGATGACTTTGAGTATCCATCAAATAAAATAAACCTAGAGAATTCACTTGTCTCCCTAAAAATCTCCCAGCCCTTTTTGGAGAAGATACCATTTCATAGGGTTCTTAAAAAGTTAAGAGCTAATTTTGTAAGCTGAAAAATCCATGGCTTTTTAAGAACTATTATTTCCTATCTACTTATACGCAGAGTTACATCCCTAGCTAAATACAGAGTATAAACAATGGAGTAGATATTAGGACTACTGGAGGTCAGTGTGAAAGAGATCAGATAAATTCTAATGTTATTATGTTAAAAATTCTCTGAAATGAAAATTTCCATTAAGAAGTCACAGAATTTCATAAGAAGCCTTAACATTCACTCAGAAAGGCTGAAATAAGTGTTGACATCGAATCTTGAGAAATGATCTTTTTTATAACACTTACCTTATTGAAAATATAATTTTAAATTATTATCTCGGATTCCGTAACGACAAACTAAAATATTGTATAGCTCCGGAAGTCTGGGATATGTACGCTAGCTAAGCATTACTCTGCATGCATTAGATGTTCTGTCACTTCACATTTACCTCGTGTTTTTCCTGCTTTAAAGCATGTGAACTGAAAGAGTAAATGAGGGACAAATGTCACGTTATGGATGTGAGACGTTAGATTATGTCAGCAGGTGGCCTTGATGAATTCACGCTGACATGCCCAATTAACTGTTTCCTGACTTTCTCATTGTTAAAGAAGCACTTCTGTACCCAAAAGATACATGTATACTGGAACAGAATCTAGATACTAGGTTCGTACCAGCCTAACCACGTAAGCAGATATGTGACTTTAGGTAGCAAGTCAATCCTTATATTTAAATTTCCTCAGGTGCCATGTGGGAGTAACGCTTATCCTACTTTTTATATAAAAGTAGAGAAGAAATGAAAGACGCGTCATGATAGTGATATGTAAAATTAAAAATCACTACGTACTATAAACTTACAATTTACAGCATTACTTCACTAGGGTGACTCTGGTAGAAGACATCTGAAGTCTGGAATGTGCTTTATCATATTGTTAAGTAATATCTCTAATTTTGAACATTTTGTTTATTTCATATGAAATACATAGTTGCTAGAACATAAATTTAATTAAAAGGGAAAAATAAATTAATCATTAAGTATTAGCACTTAAACATAACCACTGTGTCCTCCTTTGAAAGCAGTCTCACCTGCTGTATGTTCTGGATCTGTTGACATCTGCCTTACCAAAACACTTAATACTTAATCATCTGTGAAAATTAGCAAGCAGAAAAATATTCACCAAATAGTACTTGGTTAATAATATGATGGTAAGCATGCTTTTGATGATATGGCACTGGCTCTGAAATGCTATGGCATTTCTAATACACAGTCTGTATGTTCTTCATGTAATTTGCTTACTTGCACACGGGCTGGTGCATTTGAAATATGACTTAAATTCTGTCACATGAGAAATATAAACTACTTTCAAGCATTAACATACAAGGCGTTTGTGAAACTTAGCAAACGGTACATAGCCTCTGTATCATTTAATATTAACAGTGTTCTGCTTCATCCCTTTTATGTTCAGTCATCCCTAACCTGCTTTTCTGGGCAGATCTATGTACCAAAGTCTTTTTAACCATCAGATATAACGTATAGATTGTGGAGCTCTCTGGAGATTTTCAAGAGCCTTTGAAAATGGCTGATGAAAAATAAAGATTGGTTACGACCTCCCAAAAACCCACAAGGTTAATCAGCTATTTAAATAAATACTTACTACTCACAGGTGCGACCTTAAGCCAGCGTTGCTGAACTGGCAAACAAGTGATCATAGAAATTCAGTACATAGCTATTGTAAAAACATATGTCTGTACACACAACTTGTACACATAAGAATCCCTTTATGTAAAAGCTTTTTCCCATAAAATGGGATGTTTTCTGGCATAATTCTGACACATAGTAGTTGCATTAGGCTTCTCCAGAGAAAAAGAATCAATGTGGAATACTTCATCTATCTAATCTATCGGTCAATCTATTTATCTATCTATCAGTCATCTATCATCCATCCATCTAGTGATACACACATATATACTGATACTTGCAAGCTGTTGACCCAGGAAAGTTGGTGGTATACTCTGAAGGCCTGAGAACAAGAGAGATAATCATGTAGATTTTAGGCTGGGTGTGAAGACTGGAGAACCAGCTTTGCAAGTGATATTCCAGCTTAGTCAGGCAGAGGAGGAAGGACAATCCAACTTCCGGCCACCTTTTGTTCTGTTCAAGCCCTCAGGGTATCAAATGGTGGCTCCAGGCGCTGTGTGGCCAACCTGCTTCACTCAGTCACCAATTCAAATGCTAATCTCTTCCAGAAACACTCCACAAATGAGCCCGGAAAAATTCACTAGATTTGGGCATTCCCAGGGTCCACTCAAGTTGGCTTACAAAACTAACCCCAACAGTAGATAAACAATAAATGTATATGGCGTTTCTTCTTGTTGGCAGGCTATCCTTCCCTTACAAATTCTCCTCAAGTTCTGTTCTAAGGTGAATTAAGTAAAAATTCATATAGTGCCCTTCAGAGTGGAGGGAGGTCTTTCCCTTTCTGCTTTATATAAATCTTTGCATATATCTTCTATTAGGACTGAAAAATTATTTTCATTTCAGTCAATGAAAGAGATACTAGCCGTGAAATGAGGTAGGATTTCAATGCACTGGATTCCAAATAGATCTGTTTAGGAGGAAAAAACTCTTTTTTAAATTAAGATACTTACTGACATCATATTGGAAAGTAAAATAACCATCAGTCAAAGTAAAATTTGAAAACATAGTATGAGACCATGACAGTATTCTCAGGGGTACACAGGGCAGGGAGCTGGTTCCAATGCTGAAAAGCTTGACGGCCACTACGTGCTGCTTGTTAAATGAGATCTAAGCATCTATAGATGGGGTCTGCAGTGTGTGTTTTCTTGACATGACCAACGGGACACATGGCTCTTCATCCTCTAGTTATCACCTGTCATACGTACACAAACCTTTTCCCCAGGAAACTGATTCCTGGTGTAGTTGTTGCAGTTTGCTCCACTGTGCTGTGTGACCTTGCTGCATCTATGCGCAGCTCTTGTTTCAAAAACAAGTTGATATATATTTCTACTGCTTTTGGGAAGCCTCCAGGCAGTGTTTCCTCCTAAACTATTTCTTAGAAACTGGCAGGAAGAAATACAACCCCACTAAATTCCATGCTCATCCAATTCAATGGGAAAAAAAAATCCGTGATCTGCTGTTTGTTCTGAAACACCTGCTGGTAGATATAATGAGTATATTAAAAACAGAGCTGCTTCACTATTTCTTTTAAAATAACTCTGTCCTCCTCCTTGAACATGTTCAATTAAACCTATTGTTTGTTTGCTATAGTTTTGTGTGTAAAGCCAATACTTTATGGATATATCAACATGACCATTGTGGGAAGGTGCTGAGGTACTGGGACTAATTGCTTTTTTTGGTTTTTGTTTTTGTTTTTACAGCTGGGACAACATATATCTTTAGCAAAGGTGGTGGACAAATCACATATAAGTGGCCTCCTAACGACCGGCCAAGTACACGAGCAGACAGACTGGCTATAGGGTTTAGCACTGTGCAGAAGGAGGCTGTTTTGGTGCGCGTGGACAGTTCTTCAGGCTTGGGTGACTACCTAGAGCTGCATATAGTAAGTACTTTTAAAGTCATCACCCTCATTTCCTTTCAAATGCTAAATTTGTCTCTAGAATTGATAACTGTGCTTCTTGAATGTTTTCCTCTAGAAACTGAGACTGTGCTATAAAAAGTATGAATACCATGCAGAGATGGTGAAACCATAGACCTATTACTGGTAACATGCACTTTTCAATAGAAAAAATGTTCTTGTTTTGTTTTGCGTTTTCTGGATGTGAATCCCTCCCCCTTTTGCATTCACACAGACTATTTGGAGTGATTTTAGTGTCTTTAGACAGGCTTGCCAAATTAATAAAATAAGTTATTGCTTGGTGGATACCAAACCATCTGGCTGGAAGCAGAAGGTTGTAATATTGGTGACATCCAAAGATCTGGATTCAATGTTCTTACTTCTTTTCTTGCCAGAGAGAAAAATTGTCAAAAGTTACATGCAGTGGAAGGAAACCTTAAGGCTATTTCATGATGTGAAAGAAAATGGCAAAAAGGTGTCATTTTGTGCTCATTTTGAAACGTGTCAGGAGAATACCATGCGTTCTTGCCATTTCCATCTTGGGACTGTTCCTGTTCCTCTAAGCTCTCAGCCTCTCACAAAAATTTACTCAGCGCATAGCAGAAGACAAATAGGAGCTCGTGAATGAAAATTTTTTTCCTTTTTAATGTTACTGTAATTGACTTTCTAGTTGAGGGACTCTTCCTTCCCTCTCTGCACTCAAAGAATTACTAATGAGCGTAAGTCTTTTATCATCTCATTTCCTTGCACTGTTGCAAGGAAGAATACATTAATTACTAATAAATATTAATATTTTACTAGTATATCAAAACGACAAACTGAGAAAACAGAGTCGCATATTCAAAACCTCTGGCGTTGATGGTGTGCTCAGCGTGGAGTGCTTGCCTGGTGTGCTCAGCATCCTGGGCTCCATCCTTTCCACCAAAAACAAAGAGTTCTTAACATCACTGTTCTTTGTCTGAGTCTTTCACTTCTGCAAGTTTCGGAAGCGTTTCACCCTCTCCATTTCGTACTGTAGTTTATGCTTAAGTATAGTTATTTTCCCTGCATCTGTGATTATGTAAATGTAATTTGTTTTGTTTTTATCTGTCCCTATAAGTTCTCCCTTTACCGGTGCCCACGGCACAAAGGATACTTGATTAAGTCATCATGTTCTTTCTTGTTAGAAATTGGCCTTTGGGCACTGCTCCTAAAATAATGAGGAAAACCACCACACCCCAAAATGCTACATTAACACAGACATTGACAAAGTTTTAATTCTCAAACTTTTTATTAATTTATTTTCTTAACTTTACTTTTGCATTTAACTTTTAAAACTCCCAACAAGCTCAGTAGGGTTTCACACTGAAGACAGGGACTAAATTCATGGATAATCTTGAAAAACAAGTAAGAAGAAAACAACACCTCAGCACAACCATTATTGAACTATCGTAAATTTTCCATTCAAGTTGCACTTGTCAAAAATAGGAACTACGGGAAACTAATTTCAGCTGCCTTTCAGCAAATATCTAACAATCAAAATTGAAAGCATCTGATTTTTATGGCGTCATAAATAAATGATCAGTTGAGCTAAACTTAACTAGTGTGATACGGAGTCCCACTGCTTAAAGAAATCTCTGCTTTCACGATCTGTTTGCTCAGTTCTGATTTAGGAGCATTTCCACTTCAAAAATAAATAAATAAAAAGAAATGAAATGAGCGTTTACTTACAAAAAGAAATTACTTATTGATCCAAAACCAATTAGACTTTTAGCCTGAGAAAAGATCCTACAATGATCTTCCTCAAATCATAAGGGGCTCTGTTATTAAATTACTCAAAGTACTGGGTTTTTAATGGTCGAAAAGTTTTAGTATGCTAGAATATTTATTTTTTCCCAATTCTGATCTGGGAAAGCAGAACTAAAACATAAAAGAAAAAGATAAAAAGAAAGAGAACATCAAGAAGGCAAAAAGGCAAGGGAAGGGAACTGGGTCACAAGATGATACCTATGAGTGATAGAATCAGAACTATTCTTAATACTAGAACTTAGATTTGGGATTATTTTTATACCTTTGAAGTTCATCCTGATTTTCTCAAATAAATTCTTCTAATTTTTCAAGGTGCAAAATCAGCACTTTGGCAGGCTGCAGCAGGATGATTGCAAGTTTGAGCCCAGCTTGGGCAACTGAGCAACTTCCTGCTATTTAGCAAGACCCTGTCTCAAAGGAAAGCATAAAAGGGGGCTGGAGATATAGCTCAATATGAAGGCCTGTGGTTCAATCCCTGATACTGCCCCCAAAAGTCAAATAAGACTCTTATAATTTTAAATTATTACTTTTTAAATTTGGTTTATTGAATATAAGTGATTTAAATATTAACCTGATTTGTATAATGCATGCTATGTTTCATTTTAAAAGTTAGTAATTTGGTTATCCATTAGCTGCCAGAAAAATTTCCATACACCTTCTAAATTGGCAGAGCATAAACTATGTATAGATCTTATTTTAAAAATCTTGGTTTCATTTTTATTAATAAAATGAGGTAAAACCCAGGAAAATTGATTGTGTCTATTAAAAGATACTCCATTCTTGCTGAAATGTATAATGCTATTTCAACCAGATAATGTTTAAATTCTGATTGGCATATAATTTTAATGAAGATTTGAATATTTGACATTGTTTATCATCCTGTTTTTCAGAATGATCAAGTTTGATTTCACTTGAAAATGTAATCACACTTAAATTTTGATTAATGGTACTCTTAAAAATATAAGAACTTGAAATAAAAAGGCTTTTGAATGAAGTAGCCTAGTTTTAATCAGTGGATTTATTTGTTTTATTAATATGGGTGCTGCCACTGTTAAGGTGAAAGCTATATGGTGTTACTATTGAAATTGTAGGGTCTTGTCAGATGAAGGGATGACACACACAGGAAGTGAGATGCGACTAGTTAATATAAATCTTAGAACTAGTGCTTTCTGAAAGAATAAATTATTTAATTAAATATTGAAAATATTGTGGCTGAGATTTTCCTTAAGCCCTCAACATTTCAAGTCTAGATAAAAGGACAGACGAAATTTGGTTTCCATATAACTGAGAAAGTAAGATAATTTGACAATACAAAAAGTCATAACACTTAATATATGCAGTTGTATTATTGAAAAGTTTCAACTTTTTGTTTGATTTTTAGTATTTTGAGACACGGTCTCATTCTGTAGCCCAGGCTGGCCTCAAATTCATTAAATAAATCCTCCTGCCTCAGCCTCTCAAGTGCTAGGATTATAGCCATGTGCGACCATGACTGGCAAATGTTTCAAATTTTAATTGATGTTTTTATAAATCTTCAGCTAAGAATCAATTATGGTAATTGATGTTTTAAAGAAAGTCTATGGTGAAAATTTTTGTTGGATAAGGATAATCTCTTCATATCATCCTCCTTAGTTGTAGCTCATTTTTATAGTGAATTATTTTCCAGTTATTGCATATTTGTCTATTACTTCCAAGTAGATACAAACTTTATGGTGGCAGAGAACATGATTTGTGAAAATACCGTTGATTAGTAAGAAGAATAATACTGGAATGAAGCTTTCTGTAATTTATTCCAGGACACACCAAAAGCCTGCACAGTAATTTTTATGGAGCAGTGAATCTGGCCTACGCCTATGTTAAGCTCTGTGAAAATAAATTAACTGGGCACTTAGTACCTAGCTCAGTAAATATCTCTTGGGTGAATGAATAAAAGGCATCTGGCATCCTTACTGTCATGTGGTTTAGATTACTGATAGAAAATATTTTGTCCCAATGAGACTAGGATTTCTCTGTCTCGGTGTTTCTTTATTTCTCCTTATTGCAGTTTAACTTTCTTATTTACATGTTATGTCTAAGAACAATGGGCAAATGATAGGATTTTAAGATAAGGAATATAAATTACTTGTAAACTGTAAAGTGTTCTACTACAAAATTTAAATTGGTAATGTTGAGGATTATTTGATCAATATTTGAAAAAAGTAATTTCTTAGGAACAATCAACAAAGAATTGAACTAAATTTTATTTTATTAGATACATCGTGAAAATTTATCAAGCCTATCACTTCTGAGAAAACTTCTCTCACATATTGTTCTGGTGATGCTAATGGGAGCTTACACCTCTGATTTACAGAAGGAAGCCACTGCAAATACGGGCTCATACACCGTATGAATATTAAAAGACCCATTGGTCTGACCAGAGGAGATTTCGCGGGTCTGGTGGGAGGGTGAGTGAAGGGTGTTCTTAGAAATCCTTTCATCTTCGGAGCATGAAAGAGCATTGAAAATTTGATTAGTGAATTGTTGTACATATTTGCCTTAAGTGTTTCTGCTTTGTACTTTCCTGGGCCAGAAGCTTTATTTTGAAACCAAGCTCTTAATTGATTTTGATTTAGAAATATACCTTTTGATCAGCATATTTAGGTATAGACGAGAAACATAATGTATTTATAATGAAAATTACCTGTCCCAAAATAACTTACCAGTGTTGCTAACATGTGAGATCTTTCTCATTTCTCTCTTCCTTTATTCATTTACACTATTTGCCTTCTTGCTATAAGATGTAATCATAAAACGTCTATTTAAGTCTGCAGTCATACATAGTACAGACCTGTACAAACAAGATAAAACCCCATTACTGTCTACAGGCTCTTCTTGAATAGAAATTATGTTTTATCTGGAATATTCTTCCTAACAAAAAGATGCACTATTTTATAAGCATTTCATGATGCCATATTATACTTAAATTCAACTCTGTGAATGATGTGTAGTAGATATTTTGCTGGTTTTGTTTTCCTCTTCTTACATGAAAAATTAGAAAGCATGCAGCCAAATTAGCTGAAAGGTAAAAGAGAAGTAAAACGAGAAAAAGACTGACACAGCAGCACCTTTCCTCCATGTGTTGTGAAATTGTACCCAGGCTTCTGTGGAGTGAACAAAGTTACCTGTGGAGAAAGTGCGACACGATGGTGATGTTTCCC